TAGAAGAGGGGATGAGGAGGGGTAGCTCACATGATCAGAGTGGGGCTACTGAAGGAGTGGGCACAGGGGGCAGAGAAGGGCTGGTGGAGGGGGGCAGGTCACAGGAGGGCTAAGGGTAGTGAGAAGGGCAGGAGTCAGGACAGCAGAGGATGGTGAGAAGTGGGGGGGCAGCAGGCACCAGAGGAGCTGATGGACCAAGGGGAGGAGACATGGCAGCAGAGAGAAAAGGTATGATCAGAGTGGGGCTACTGAAGGAGTGGGCACAGGGGGCAGAGAAGGGCTGGTGGAGGGGGGCAGGTCACAGGAGGGCTAAGGGTAGTGAGAAGGGCAGGAGTCAGGACAGCAGAGGATGGTGAGAAGTGGGGGGGCAGCAGGCACCAGAGGAGCTGATGGACCAAGGGGAGGAGACATGGCAGCAGAGAGAAAAGGTAACGGTTTATATAATATTTAATAACTTGGGTGCCACGGTGGCACATCCAAACAAGCCACATTAATTCAGTACAGGTGCACAACACAAAATCCATTCTGCTCATGGGAGGAAACTCTTAGGCTATGTCTACACTGGCGGCTTCTTGCGCAAGAACATGTCCACAATGCCATGTGCAAGCTGTGCTTTTGCTCAAGAGCATCCATGGTGGTGTGGATGCTCTCTTGCGCAAGAAAGCTCCAAAGGCCATTTTAGCCATAGGGGTTTCTTACGCAAGAAATCCCTGCCAAGGATCCACACTGCCCTCTTGCGCAAGAGAGCTTTGCACCTGTTAGAAAAGAGCATAGCTCTTGCGCACGACACGCTCTCTTACCATGCCGTACTGTAAATTTCCTTGCACAAGAGCAGGTGGGCAGTGTGGCTGTTCTGTGGGTTCTTGCGCAAGAACGGCTGTACTTGAGCAAGAAGCCGCGAGTGTAGACATAGCCTTAGAGGGAACACTTCCCCCAGCCTCTCTGCCCCCGAGTTAATGTCACACACATTGGGTTAATGCAATTACAGGATAGTTGCATGAGGGCGGTTTGGTGGGGGCCTAACTAATCCCTGTTGGTAGGAGGATGGTGGGAAAAGTCCTTTGAGAGAGGTGACATGACAACTTTTACTTCTGGTCATGTGTCCATCTTGCCCCGAGCGTGTCACCTCCAGAGGCCTGGTTAACAGGGGTAAGGGAGTGTGGCTAATGGGGGTCGGGGCATGGTTAATGGGGGTCAAAGGGTGTGGCTAATGGGGCACCACCAAAAATTATACAAAACTGCTGCCCCTGCCGGCCCCAGAGGAGGAGTGTGTAAGACTTTTTTTTTTTTTTTCCTCAACCAAAATTGCTGCGGGGCCCCGTCAAACTTGTTCGAATTGGGCCCCGCACTTCCTAAAGCCAGCCCTGATCTTGCTTTCCTGTTCTCCATAAGCCATCATAGCAACTGAAGTCAGATCGAGTGGTCATGCTTATGAGTTCCTCAATTAATTCAGCAAAAGCCAAGTATGTTGCCTTTTTGCTCCCTTATTTAACAGGATCATTAAGTGTATGACCAGAAAACACAATCAGACCATAGTCTGCCCTCCTGTATAATACAGACCATTGAGTTTCACCCATTTACCCCCTATATTGAACCTAACAACTTCAATATGACTAAAGCATAGCACTCAGAAAGGCATCCAAAAAATCTTGGATTTGAAGATATCACGATACGGAGAATTCATCACTTACTTCTCTGCTCATTTCTACCAACAGTTACTCACCCACAATGTTAAATTTGTTTTATTTCTAACTTGAATTGGTCAGGCTGTAACTTGCAGCCATAGGTGGTTCTATGCCTTCCTCGGCTAAACGAACACGGCATTAGCTTAGCTGCTGCCCGGTGCGTGTCGGGGCGGAGGTGGGGGGACAGGGGGACTCCCTGACCCTGGGCAGCCGGCTGGGACAAAGGAACGGTCCCTACTTTTGCCACGAACCGCTGGAGGCTGCAGCCTTGGGGACCTTGGATGAGCGAGCAGTGGGACTGGAGCAGGAGGGGCGGAGCGTGGGGCTCCCTCCCGGGGGCTGGGGCAAGGACGTGGCGGGACATGTGCTGGGCGACCCCAGGACGGACCCGGCAGAGGAAGCTTTGGGGGACGCCGCCGGTACCTGGCTGAGCACGAAGAGCCCATAAGCCGCCAGCCAGACCGAGCCGGTGGCGGCGCTCAGCG